TGGAAAAAAAAATGACACACAGAATAAAGGAAGTCGAAAGAAACAGGAGACTAAAGACTGAATGGCAAAGAAGCTGAAGTGTGTTTCACGAGTGACAACACTTTGATTTACAGTTGCCGGCATGAACACTGATAATCCATTTGGTTGCACAACACTTGAAGGGGAAATACCACATAGGTCATACAAAATTAAGGTGCACCCAAGCCTTTGATTCCTAAATGGTTGGTTTAAAAAGTGGGGGCCATACCAGTAGAACTGAGGAAGTGGAGGCCATACCAGTGCAACTGAGAAAATCTTATTTTTTAAAATAAATATTAAGGTTGATTCAGCCGTCCTTCCTTCCTTCCTTCCTTCCTTCCTTCCTTCCTTCCTTCCTTCCTTCCTTCCNCTTTTTCCTTTTACATTTTTTTTTCTTTTCATGACAGTGGTGAGGCTCTACCTCCCCTGACTGCACATCACTGGTTGACTCAGCCTTCCATCCTTCTGAAGTGGGTAAAATGAGGACCCAGGTTGTTGGGGGCAAGAGGCTGACTCTGTAAACCACTCAGAGAGGGCTGCAAAGCACCAGTCTTTTCTTAAAAACCTCCAGTGATGAAGGACCCACAACATCTGGAGACAAGCCGTTCCACTGGCTAATTGTCCTCACCGTTAGGATGTTTCTCCTTGGTTCAGGTTGCTTCTCTCCTTGATTAGTTCCCCTCCATTGTTTCTTGCCCTGCCTTCTGGTGCTTTGGAAAATAGATTGACCCCATTCTCTTGGTGGCAGCTCCTCAAATACTGGAATAGTCCTACCATGTCACCCCTAGTCCTTCTTTTCAGTCCTATGAGGATGACATTACATATCACATCAGATTAATTATACACGTTACTATTATGGCTCTTGATGGAGGGGAGAACGTCAAGAGAGGCCATCGGACGCCACAAAGTTTATTCAACTTCCATTTTTTCTTAAGAAAACAACATGGGTGTAACTATCGAGAAAAACAGAGCCAAGTTGTTGTCAAAGGACATTTATCTTTTTATCTATTGATTATTCCTTGTTGGTCTTATTAATCCATCAGATTGATGTCTTTTTTAGAAGTTGTGCGGCCTGCTTTCTACACAACTACCACCACGCAGTTAGAATGGACTGGTTTGGGGAGGTTTCTAGGAACCTTTTTTGGAGTGCCTACTTGATCTTGGGATCTGTTTTGTGGCCTGTTGTCCCCCCCCCCCACCTCCAGCACTTGAATCAGAGGAGGAGGTAGTGGTGTGGGTGTCGTCCCTTTGGAACGAACTCCCCGTGGAGATTCGGACCCTCACCACCCTCCAATCCTTCCGCGCTGCTGTAAA